TAACGTTAAGCGTGCGGACCCTACGGGTTCGAGAACTATGTAGACATGACCTAGAACCATTCTCGGTCAATAACCAATAGCGGGACCTGGATGCCCATACTGGTTCCTACATATTCTACGAAGATCTTTATCGGTCAAACCGCATAACAACATACGTTGTTCCCTTTGTCATCGGTATGTTACTTGCCCGAGATTTGATCGTCGGTATCCAATACCTAGTTCAATCTCGTTACCGGCAAGTCTCTTTACTCGTTCTGTAATGCATTATCCCGTAACCAACTCATTTGGTCACATTGCTTGCAAGGCTTATATAGATGTGCATTACCGAGAGGGCCCAGAGATACCTCTCCGACAATCGGAGTGACAAAACCTAATCTCGAAATACGCCAACTCAACATGTACCTTCGGAGACACCTGTAGTACTCCTTTATAATCACCCAGTTACATTGTGACATTTGGTAGTACCCAAAGTGTTCCTCCGATAAACGGGAGTTGCATAATTCTCATAGTTACAGGAACATGTATAAGTCATGAAGAAAGCAATAGCAACATACTAAACGATCAAGTGCTAGGCTAACAGAATGGGTCATGTCAATCACATCATTCTCCTAATAATGTGATCCCATTAATCAAATGACAACTCTTTTGTCCATGGCTAGGAAACATAACCATCTTTGATAAACGAGCTAGTCAAGTAGAGGCATACTAGTGACACTATGTTTGTCTATGTATTCACACATGTATTATGTTTCCGGCTAATACAATTCTAGCATGAATAATAAACATTTATCATGAAATAAGGAAATAAATAATAACTTTATTATTGCCTCTAGGGCATATTTCCTTCAGTGCCACCATGCCGCCGTGCCACCGGGAGCTTCGGGCTACCACGGCGTCCGCGTGCGTCCGTCCGGCACCTACTCCGCCGAGATTTGGTCGGGCGACGTGCGCATCGGCCTTGGAACCTTTGACTCTGCCCAGGATGGCGCCCACACGTATGACGCTGCGGCATGGCGCCTCCGGCGGTCCTGTTGGGACATGGATTTTGAGAACGTGGCGACGTAGGAGCGGGCGCAAGAGTTGGCGCCTCCCCGCGGCTTCTCACCGACGAGAATCGTCGTGAGAATCGAAGGCGAGAGCGCCGTCTCAGCCTGGCCGAGATGGACGAGGAAGCCATGGCGATGTGGCGCCAACGCTTCCCGCAAGACGTCATCAACGAGCAACAGTTCTTCGCAGGGAGGAGGGCGGAGAGGGAGAAAAGGAGGCAGGAGCGAGCCTCCTATCGCGAGGACAAGCGAACGCGAAAGGCGGTCGCCAAATTGAACATTGCGCTAGGAGATGCGTCGTCCTGGGACTCCGGCGACGGGCGGTTCCTTGACGCCTACGCTCATACGTCGGAAGAGGACATCACCGAAGCAGAGTCCGAGTCGGAGAATGACGAGTAGTAGTAGTTTTTCTATCTATGTGCACTATTTGTATTGTAGAAGCAGTCTATGTGTGCACATTTGTACTATCGGAGCCAAATGTCTGTCGAACCGTAGTTAAAAAATAGATGCAATATAGCGCGCCTGCTGGAGCAACTTGGCCGCACTTTATTTTACGGCGATCGCTGAAGCCAGCGCACCGCGGCGCGCAAAAGTTGGCGATTTCGACGCTGCATACCGTTTTTTAGCACGCCGCGCGTTGGGCGCATGTTGGAGATGCTCTAAGGGCTTCCTTAGCTCCTTGAGATGGGCAACCCCATGATAGCATTACATTTTTTTTGAGAGTACGCAATCGCGTACCTTAGCTTTATAGAAGGTAGAAATATGTACAAGAAGTTTTACAAAAGGAGGCATATCCTAGCACACGACAAGACCGTTGCCCGGGACCCCAACTCCACTCATGAAACTAAACTCTACTACTCACAGAAGATGCTGACTCCTCGGCCTCCTGCCAACATCCAAGTGCGTAAACTCTCGAAAATCTGCGAGGTGAAGTGTTGCACCGTATCAATTGAAGTACGCGGGCCAAACACGATCCCATTCCTCTGCTTCCAAAGCTGCCAGGAGATCAACATGATCAACGAGTCAAACGCTTTCCTATGCTCAGCAGGGATACGAGCGCGACAAGCCATCCACCAGGCCTCCAGGGTGTCCCTCGACGTAGGGATCAGCGAGGTATCCACTCTGGCCTGAAGAAAACACCGGTGCCACACTTGTCGAGCGAACACGCACTGGATAAGAATGTGGTCCGCCGTATCTTCATCTTGAGCACAGATGAAGCATGGTGAGCGCTCCTCCTGTAGCCCATGTCTGAATCTACGATCAGCTGTCCAAAGACGATAATGTGTGGCTAGCCACATAAACAGCTTACAAGAGAGAGGCGCCCAACACTTCCAGATCGCTTTTGCCGGGGCGAAACCGATACTCCCTTCGCACAACATCGCATAGGTGGATGCCGAGGAGTACACCCCAAGATTGTTCCACTTCCAAGTAGGAACGTCTGAAAGTGCCGGATCAAGCTGAATATTGATCATGATCTCCCATAACCGAACAATCTGCACCATGCCATCAGCCGATAACTCCCCACAAACATCATTGGCCCAATGATGGAGCTGCAAAGCCTCCGAGACCGTCCTCCGGTTGGCCACTTGTGTGCGCACCTGTGCACGGGCCATAGGCGCCAGCTCAGCCACGGTGGATCCATTGAGCCACCTATCTTTCCAGAATAAAATGCTCCTTCCATCTCCAATGCTCCATTGCACAAGGTTGGTAAACACCGCATGAGTCTGTTTATCCAGCACGAGTGAGAGACCTTGCCAAGGCCTCCCCTGATCCGTGCGTTTCAACCATTCCCAGCGCAATCTAAGAGCCAACCCCCGCCTGTTGAGGTCGATCACTCCGAGCCCTGCAAGTTGTTTGGGACGGCAAACTTTCTGCCAAGCCACTAAACATTTGCCTCCATGGATTTGCTCCGAACCAGCCCAAAAGAAAGCCCGACATGCCTTATCAACCTGATTCAGCGCCCACTTGGGAGCATCAGCGATCATGAGATGATGCGTAGGCCTAGCACGCACCACATTGTTTACCAGAATCAGTCTCCCTGGCCTCGTGACTAGCCCCCTTTGCCATCCCGGAAGGAAGTTGAGCACTTGGTCGACAATAGGCTGCCACTCTGCTCTCATGAGCTGCTTGATCGAAAGTTGTAGCCCCATATATTTACATGGGAAGGAATCCATGCGCCAAGGTAAAGCTTGTGAAACTCGCAGTGTGTCAGCTTCCTCAGATCTGATCATGATCGCCGAAGACTTGGCAAAGTTGACATGTAAACCTGACGCTCTGCCGAAGATTTGCAAAGCCTCTCTGACAAAGCAAAGGTCGCTGATTGTGGGCCTGATAAAAAGGATTACATCGTCTGCGTAAATCGAGAGTCTCTGAAGAGGAGTGCATCCTGGCATCGCGCTGATGGCCATCATCTGCTGAGCCTTGATCATCATCGAGGAGAGAGTATCCATGGCAATGACAAACAGAAGAGGGGAGACCGGGTCCCCTTGGCGTAGCCCTTTTGCATGTCTGAACTTCCTGCTTTGGCAGCCGTTGACAATCACCCGTGAGCTGGCTGTGGTGAGCAGCGTAGCCAGCCTCGACACCAAAGCTCAGAGAAGCCTTTGGCTCGCAGCACCTCAAATAGGAAAGACCAGGAGATGGAGTCAAAGGCGCATGAAATATCGAGCTTGATCATGACACCTTTCGCTTTTCTTTTATGCAGATTTCGAGCCAACTGTCTTACGAGGAGGAAGTTGTCATGAATATTCCTCCCACGGATATAAGCCGACTGATTCACTTTCACCAAATCTCCCATACGTGGGCAGAGCCTCGAAGCCATCAACTTAGAGTTAATCTTGGGTATGCTATGAAGTAGGCTGATTGGCCGAAAATCTCCAATTCTGCAAGCATCCGGTTTCTTGGGGATGAGAGTGATAATGGCCTGATTAAGCCTGCCAAAACCCCGGCCATTGCCCAACTGAAATTTGTGAATCGCAGCCATGACATCCCCCTTAATGATCTGCCAAGCTCTGCAGAAGAAGAGACCAATGAATCCATCCGGACCGGGCGCGCGATCCGATGGCATACCTTTGATAACCGTCCAGATCTCCTCCTCGGTAAAGATGTTATCCAGCTCATGCAGATCTAAAGGCTCCACCCCCAAGAAATCCAAGTTGAGGGTTAGGTCTCTGGATTGATACGTGCCCAGCAACTCCTTGTACGCGTTATAGAACGCCTCCTCCTTGCCCTCTTGCTTTGTGATGATCTGATCGCCAAGGTGCAGCGCCGGGATGAAGTTCCTTAGTCTCCTGCCATTGGCCATAAGATGGAACAATTTGGTGTTGGCATCCCCTTCACAAAGCCAACGAATCCGAGAGCGCTGACGGGCAATCGTGTGTTCAAGCGATGCCAGCCCCAGGGACGCCAGCTTCAGATTGTTGCGCAGCCACCGCTCACCAGCAGAAAGAACACGATGGTCCATGGCTCTGTCCAACTGCAAGATCACCCAATTCGCGATCGCAATCTGCAACTTAACATTCCCAATAGCATTACATTTGAATTTATAGAATTTATAGAGACGGTGCATACTATTCCCACTTATATAGTAAACTTTGTAGGACCAATTACTCATTAAATAAACTTGCGTAAATATCATTTGGCCGAAATTTCATACGCTCAAAACCCATTTTTTTTATTTTTTTATTTTTTTGAGGAAAAAAAAAACCTACTGCTTTCACCACTTTATTTCTCTCCTCGTTCAGCAGTCAGCATCTCCGTGTCTCTCTCTGCCTTCCCCTCCACCGCCCGCCCCCCCTACTCTGACACCGCCAAAATCCCACCGCGCCACGCTGATGGCTTCGCCGCCGACGGGACCCGCGGCGCCGGCGGGTTTGGAGAGCATGGAGGGACTCGCCCTCGACACTATCATCGCCAAGGCCGGCGCGCGCCCCGCGGCCGCGCTCGCCTGCGCCAGCACGCACCTGCGCGCCGCCGTCGCCGAGGACGCCGTCTGGCGCAGCTTCTGCGCCCGAGACCTCGGCCTCGACGCGCCCCTAGACCCCGAGGACCGCCCGCTCCCCTCCTTCAAGGTCTGGTGCTGGCCTGATCTCCTCGTTCCTTTCCCGTAACTAACCCTCGCCCAAACACAAGAATTAAGAAGCAGTCAATATACGATCTGCCGCTTCGTGATGGGGTTGTACTGGCGTGGAACCTGGATGCTTTTCTTACTTGTATTGTTACTACTGTGAATTCTTTGGTGCGGGTTGTCAGCTTGGCAATGGCGGACCTAGCAGAAGGTTTGGAGGGCGGTCTTACTGCGAATTCAAAGAACTAACGTGTTTTCATTGCAAACGTAAAATAACTTACGGATTTGCAAATTAGGATTAGAAGTGGGGGCCTTTATCCCTGCTCAGTCCTTCTTGGTGTCTGTATTCTGATCAATGTCTCATTCTTGAATTTCCTGATCTTAGCCCATTAGTTATGACTATGACCAAACAGATGATAAATCAGAAACACATAGTACCAAGCAATTACCTATGATTTTGTAGATCGTTAAGGTTAGGTGTGTCGAAAGTAGAGTGAGGTGTGTCTGTAGACTCTGTAGAACTAGTTTTTATCATCTCACTGTTTACATAGGTAGGAAAGCGGCTTAGAGAAGATAGGACCCTGACTAACTACATGGTAAACGAAAATAGAAACATATAAGAGGAATAAAATAAGCAATTTTCCTAAAATTGGTAGTACTTCTCAGTTCTCACTTACATATATATTTTCTTCTAATATCCGTGTCCTTGTGTGGATGAAGTTAACATTTCATAGTCCTAATGTCTGTCAAAAGAGTTTGACCTGTAATGACTCCCCACCATGATTTTTTGTTTTCTTTTCAGTGTATCTTTTGTCACGTTAGCTTTCTGTCATTATTTTTCGGTTTAACTTGTCCAAAAGGGGATGCAGATTGATTATTGATGTTTAATTTGTGGTATTACTATCAGAGACTTGTACAGTTCTGCTCATGGACTGCATTTCTCAGGTAGAACATTTCCTCTGCATGTAAGCATGTAAAGTTTTACGTGCCACTGAAGAAAAATGCTGGTATTTTTTCCTATGATAATATATGAGTAGTGCCTATTTAATAGTTGTTCCACCAAGGAATACGATGCCATTGAATGATCCCAATAGTGAATTGTCTGAGACCCAAACTTTCAACTTTTACATGTCGTCTTTGGTTGTTATGACGTTACTTCAAATTGCATCCACTTCCTGCTGGCCTTCAGGGCCGTATGAGAGAAACAAGAGTCCCGTTGGGATATCTGAGATTAGGCCTCGTGTAAAAGAAACTCAACTATGAAAACTTGAACACTATTTTATTATTCATACTGGTAGTATAATATTTTGTCGAATTGCATATTTTTAAAAACAAGTTTTAGAGCACAAACTACTAATCTATGGTTTAGCGGAAATGTGACATCCTTTTGGCTTTCCTTGTTGTAAAATCTTCAAAACTAATTTATGTGCTGGAGCTATAGCACAGTTAGTATCATCACCATGAACCCAGTCATTATTAGCATCGATATTTGGTTTTCGAAAGACTCTTTTAAAGGTTTGTTGTCAATGTATTACAGTCCAGGGTCTGGAGTGTGTCGCTAGAGTCATTTACTGTATATCTGCGCTTTGGCTGTGCAATACAATTATGACCTTTTGAGCTATTCTCTAATATTGACAAATTGCACCCTATTTGGTCTTCTTCCTAGCAACTGCAAAAACTAAGAGTTAGGGGAACATGAATTATATGGAGTACAACACTCCTTATTCTGTTCACTTTGATTCTGTTAATCATTTCTTTCTAGAGAATGGTTATGTTATTGATTGTGCTCGCTGTTGTTCACTTATAGACGTCCAAATTCGTTCGTTGTTTGTAAATTTTCTTTTCGGTGGAATTATTATTTACGATGTTACTTCATCTGATTTTGGCGATTGACTGCATATCTTCTTCGCTTCAAATTAATTGGTTTTATCCATGATAGCAAACTGTAATCAATTTTTCAGGATGCATATAAAGTTTGGTCAGAGTCTTTTGGTATGTATCCATTACCCCTGGTAAAGAGAGTGAAACTTTTTTGGAGCTCATTAAAAGGCTGGATTTCTGAAAACTTCCCTGAAGCACTCAGAACTTTGAGTAAAGGTGCTTCTGAGGCTCAGATAAGATCAGCAGAAGATGATCTTGGTTTCAAGCTTCCTATGCCCACAAAGCTATTGTACCGCTTTTGCAATGGTCAACTGCCTTTCAGTAGAAACCACTTTGAGGATGTACGCATGGCTCCTCTTGGCATAATAGGAGGCTATGTGTTTTATGATCACAGTGTAAATGTGCACTTGTCATCTCTTGAGCAAATGGTCGAAGAGACAAAAGAATTTAATCTCGACTTGGAGGAACAAGGTCTTCCCATTGGGCCCAACCTTGCATTAGTGGCAAGTTCATGGTATCATCCTAAAACGTTTATTCTCAATTGTTCAAGTGGTGACCTTTACGTTGGCACTGCCAACTTATCAGCTGGAGAAATGATGCCATGCGTGCCAAAATCATTGATAAAGCCAACTGATAGTGATATGCCCCAAGATGGATTACTTTTGTGGTTGGAAGAGCACCTTAGGCGCTTACAGAATGGCATGATCAAGATTCGCCCGCTTAAGACGTCGAGGTATATCTGCTTATATCCAGAAGCATCCCCATTGTGTTCGTCAGCAGTGACAAATGGTGTAAAGGTGATAAATCGTGACTTCCTAAATATGGCATCATCATTTTATTAAGCTTGTTTGACTGTTCTTATTCATCACTTGCAACATTTCATCCCACTTGATTGCTTCCGTGAGCAATTTTTCATGACATGCAATTGACATTCTATATGGTCTCACTGGAGCACTGGGCTGACATTTCTGATGGTTATAGGTACGTGCATCTGCAGTCTTTGCGCCAGAACATCCTTATGGGGGGCATCCGGGCACATATCTGTACAGCTATTCCATCCGCCTGTCAGTTCCTGAGGCATGCATGCTAGGTGGAGTTTACTTTTCTTCCTGCCAGCTTCACTCACGCCACTGGATCATCCGATGTAAAGACACGGTTGTTTCGGATGTGAATGGGGAAGGTGTTATTGGGAAGGTATGCTGGAATCAAAAAGGAAAACTAATTTCTGCATCTTGAATTCTCGTGGAGAGAAGTTATAGTTAATGTGGCTATTTATTTGGCTTTGTGTTTTGCAGTTTCCTTTACTTTTACCAGGGCAGGACGAGTTTGTCTATGAGAGCTGCACGCCGCTGAATGGCAGTAGTGGATCTGTGGAGGGCTCCTTTACATTTGTGCCTGGGAGGTATGATCTAATTCACAAGAGAAGTTTCAATCGAGAAAATGAAGTCGTTTTATTAGGCATCTGTAGCCAAACTGTGTTTGTTAAGGATTGGCAAGTGTTTGTGTGCCAACTAACCGAATCATCTTGTTTTTTCGTTCTGTTGATGCGTGATCTGACTGTTTTATCCTTTGGTTAAGGGTGACCCAGCCAGAAGGAAAACCATTCAACGTCACGGTGGCTCCGTTCCCTCTGCAAGTACCCGACTACATCTTCTGAGCAATAGTATGTGCACCTAATAACAGCGTAGTGTCTTGGTAGAAACACCGAACATATCTCTAGTACTCTTGTCTGTTGCAGCAAAGTTGCTCTGCGTGGAGTTGATCTTGTCGATGTAATGTAAACTAAAGGACGCAAATGGTTGTCTTGCGCCGACCTTCTTCCGGTTCTTTGCTGTGGCCCTAAAGGAATCTGTAGCAGGTGGAGCTTGTCTGTTCATATGTGATGCGAGGTTGTTTGTTTCGGTGAAACATAAGAGGGGATTGTTCCAGGGAACACCTCTTTTGTCAGTGAAAACAGCAGGGTAGAGAATGGTAGCTGTTACCATGGGTGAGTTGCTGCAAGAAATGGTTCTTTGGCTGTCATGTCCGGGTTTGCGTGGTTTAAACACTGATGCGATCGAAGCGCTGCTGTTCATGACCGTGCTGTTTCAGTAGGTCATCCGTAATCCCACACTGATGTTCGTTTGTAATGTTTCCCCTATGGTTCATCACCACTGTACTGTTAGTTCGGCATTACCTGTATTGCAAAGTTGATCTTTATCCCTTGTATATACAGTGTGAGTGGTCCATCGGGTAGACGTGCGTGCTTCACTGCACCGGACAGCAACATAAGCAGATAGACAGAGGATGTCTGTCACATCAGTATAATAGCTGTGCATTGTCTTTCTATATTTTGTTTATGTTTATCTACAATCTTCCTATAACCAGGACGCCTTCCAAAGAACTCCAGAATCAGGTTTTGATGCAACATAAGTATCAGTAGAATATTGTTTCAAGTATCAAAGTACAAACGGCTCATTAGCTTCTCAAATACCACTTGGAATAGATTTCAGGTACTTCTTCTGAATAACATGCCAAGGAAATTTGATCTCAAATCTCCCCCTGACAGCCTTATCATCCTTAAATCAGATCCCAGCTGCCATACCATCTTTCTGTGGGAACCGGATCCTCTAACATTCACAAGGAATGTTTGAGAAGCTACAGTACCCTAACTTTCCTTCTTTCTATTCATATGATTAAGGCTAAAATGACTTAAATTAATTTGTAAATTGATGATCTACTATGTACATTTCATAGTAACTACATACAAACAAATTGATGGTGAAATAAAATTAATTTTGAATTATTTATATCTACAGTAAATATCAACAATAAACAATCTGCTAACAGTCTCTAACTTTCCTTCTTGGATTTACACTAGACTAGCATTGTAGCATGGTGACTTTCCTTGTGAATGTTAGAGGATCCGGTTCCCTTTCTGTGGTGATTTCTTTCTCTCTTCCACTTGTTACAACACTCTTCTCTTAGATGCAATTGCATTGCAAGAATCACACTGTGAAAACCACAAAGAGAGCATGAAACATGATTTCCAACTTATCTCAGCAGCTAAGCACCGAGTATGTACAAGAAATTGTGACTAGAACCAGAACCTCATTTTTCTTTCTTTCTCTTGGCCATTACTAGAACCAGAACCAGGTAGCGTGAAGAGCCAAGCATTCTGAGCCATCTACTCTGCACACAGTAACCAAGTTAGAATGTGAAATTAACATCATGAAAGCAACTCCTACAAAAGAAATGTGGAACCAGTAATTTCGTAGGACCAAGTAATGAACGATGGTTCTTGCAAGCACAAAAGAGGGATGTGCTAGTGAACCAACTCAAAAGACACAAGTAAAATTCATTGATTCTACTGCCACATTGGCATTTGAAGTGTGAAGCTGGTGCGCACGCAGGATCAACTTTCTGTTGAAGGAAAAAAAGGTGCACCTTGTTATATGAGCAGTCTATCACCCCTATTAAGCAGAGATGTCACAGAACATCAGATAATAAGTATTTTTTTTTGCGGGGCAAAACATCAGATAATTCACATGAAAAGTAACCCCAAGGTGATGCTTAAACCCAATCCAATCTGCAAACAGATTTAGGACCCGAATGCAAAAATATATATAAAGAAAAATCTACCACCAGCTGAAAACATTTCTGCAGCTGAAAATTCAGAAAAGGAGGCTGGACAGCTCTGGATCAGTCTAGCTCTGCCTATGCCTGCACCATGGATCAAGATGGCAGAGATAACTGAAGTTGCTACGACAGTCCTCCAATAACCATGACAGGCCGCCAGGGCCGTGCGCGTCCGTGCGCGTGCATGTGAGCGTGAGCGTGAGCTGCTTCCTCCGGCCCGGCAATTACTACTACTTCCGTGGTTTTGCATGGATCTGCAATGCAAACCGTTGAAGAAATTTTTGCGCATGCACGTTTGTGGGCATTCATTCATGGACGGAGCACTTTTTTGCCTCCGGTCTCCACTCAACATGCATACACATGACCAGCTGTAAAGCGCGCCAACACAGTCTAGCTTGGTAAACCGAAACATTCAACATTTCTCCAAGTACAAAGGAGGAGCCGCGGCAAATTTAATTAAACAATCACGGCGATCACTTTACGTACCCCGTGATGTGCTCATGTGCATGTGCTGTACTACCATGGCATGCATCGGCGGTGGTGACAGAGCTAACGTGGAAATAAATCGCCAATGTGCTTGACTTGAGAACCTGGGTCGCAGCAAATGGAACCACGGTAATAGACATAACGTGGTCACCATGTTATAGCACTCCCTCTGTAAATAAATATATGACGTTTTAAGTCTTTAGTGAGCTAAAACGTACTATTTGTTTATAGAGGTTGTGTACTTTCTAGCACAAATATGGTGCAACTATATTTTATTTCACAAGAAAATTATACAATTTTTCATCAAATATTAACAGAAAATTATCAAGATCAACTTATCAGAACGACCGGAAAATTCAACCAATTTTAGATTTTTAGTCATGGCAAATCAAACGTTTTTCATGGCTAGTTGTGTTTGCCAAGGATGGCCAGTTTAGTTGGGGAGAGCATGACAAATTCGCCCCAGTTTATTATTTATTAAAAAATTGCAATGCTTGACAACTAAATTTGTCATCTTCGCGCAAATATGCATTGTTATGAAAAACATTTGATTTGCCATGTCTAAATATCTGACATCAGATTTTTAGCATTTTCGTGTAGAAACAGTTCCAAGCTTATATGTGCACGCGCTTCTTTCAGCAACCGTGGTACACTGTTAGTTAAGACTTCTTCTAGACCGAGATCGACCATATATACACATGCATGCATGTATATATACACTGCTCAGGCGTCCCTTGGATCAAGATGAATGAATGAATGGTCCAAAGAGATTGGGACCATGCATCTTCAAATTTCTCTTGAAAGAGACTACTAGCTAGGATAATTTGCCATGTACGTACTATTGAGCATCTGGATACGACCCAAACTGGTTCCAAAACGCATAATCGAAATCAAACGACCCCCCAACCTCTACTTGCACCTCCTTAAATAACGACGTAGCACCCTCAACTCCCTTCTCCTTAATTGTGCTCGGCTCGATCCAATGCACCGACTCACTACTCCAGCCGAATCATCCGTCCACTCGGCCTCGTAAATGCCTTCGCTCATCGACGGCCCGGGCTCGCTGCGGTCGCTGCTCCGGCCGGTCAGCGACGAGCGCCGGACCAAGCACGGCGGCGCCGTCGTGGGGCTCTTCAAGATGTTCAAGCTGGTGCCGATGCTCACCACCAGCACCGGGTGCAAGATGGCCGCGCTGCTCGGGCGGCACAGCGGCGGCGGCGGCAGGGCCCTCCTCGCCGACCACGCGCCGGCGGTGACGCTCTTCGGGCACCGCCGCGGCCGGCTGAGCCTGACCATCCACGAGGACACGCGGGCGCCGCCGGCGTTCCTCATCGAGCTGCCCATGCTGGCGGCCGCGCTGCACCGGGAGATGGCCACGGGGACCGTGAAGCTGGCGCTGGAGAGCGATACCCGCAGCGCGCGCCGGCGGCTCCTGGAGGAGTACGTGTGGGCCGTCTACTGCAACGGACGCAAGGCAGGGTACGCCATCCGCCGCAAGGACCCGTCCGACGACGAGCGGCACGTGCTGCGCCTGCTGCGCGGCGTCTCCATGGGCGCCGGGGTGCTGCCGCCGCCGCCCGCCGACGGCTCCCACGGCCCCGACGGCGAGCTCACCTACATGCGCGCCCGCGTCGAGCGCGTCGTCGGGTCCAAGGACTCCGAGGCCTTCTACATGATCAACCCGGACGACGACAACCGGGGTGGCGATGGCGCCGCGGAGCTCAGTATTTTCCTTGTGAGGAAGAAGTAAAGAAAATCTAACTACTACGAATACCTCTTGTGGATAGATATGATACGAGCATAAGCATATACTAGTAGTAATATTTTTGTGTGAAGAGATAGATGAATATATTATGGGCTATCGATTCAATTCAAATTGTGTCACCTTTGCTATATAGTAGAAAAAATAAAGAAAAACGAAAACCAATTGTGTCATCCGAGTAAAATATGCGTGGGGCGGTGTGTTACACAAATGTTTACCAACAATGTGGATGTATTACTGCGTCATACTCCCTCCGTTTGAAAAATCTTGTCCCAAGCTTGTTCCTCAAATAAATATATCAAGCACTAACTTGATGCTAGATACATTCATTGAGGAGATAAGTTTTTTCGGACGGAGGAACTATGTGGTAAGTAATCAGAATAATTAAAAAAAAGTAGTGTGGATGTATTCGTGGTATGGCAAAAGACCTATCTTGTTTGTTTCAAAGATGAGCTCGGTTAGCTAGCGTCTTGCGAATTTCAACGTGCTAAACACTATTGCATGCCATAAATTGTGATGGGACAAATACATACTATACCCTAATAATGGCAGATCTTGACACAAGGGGCCTGGTTTTGAGTGCTTCGTTTGTAGTCCATTTTGATCATAACACTAGTGTGGCCCCAATTTTGGATACATTAGTGAAGAATTTCATTTTGAGACAACATAGATTAGAAGAAATAGTACCCCCACCCCCCACCCCCACCCCCCATTTGAACGTTGTCAAGGTCCAACGCTGAATAAAGTCAACCACGGTACCGGGGCTCCAAGCCTCAACCTTGATCGCCTTT